GTAAAATAATTCCCAAACTTCAGCTGCAACCATGGAGTGCTTTGACTCAAACGGCTTGTATAAGACACTGCAGCTTTTTCAGAACTAAGTATCATCCATAGGAGAAGGGATTAAAAGGACCAATGGCACATGCATATTCCTGTCTTACCTAAAATTTTGGTAGGCTTAACTTACCCACATACCCTCATTTTTTGATCCAGGGAAAGGTGCACTTGGCACCCCTTCAAATCTGCTTCTTGTCTCTTGTGACCAGGAAGGAGAGAAAAACAAGGTAGGATCCTCTGCCTTTTGTGCCCATGTACTTTGCATCTCCCTTTGCCAAAATCCTCTGTTGGGCTCACCAATGGATGGAGACAGGCCAAAAAGAACCATCCAGTCATTTTTCTTTTGTATTCAGGCTGGCTACCTAAAGCTATTATGATCCTTTTCCTGGGCCATGCAAATAACTCCTTGATACCACACACACACCAAACTGTCAAAATGGCAATCAACTAAGCAGAGGTGTACATTATTTTTATAAATATTGTGCAAGTCTTTCCTACACTTTTCATAATATTTTAAATTTATATAGTTCTACTATTTAATATTTAATTATCCCAGATGCTCTGGTATATCAGTTACCTATCCAAGCTTGGTTTGATTAACGAAGCATATTTTTATTTATTTTTAAATAATTACTGTTCTAATACTCTTTCAAATCCAGGTTTACATGAGTAAAAATGAAGGCTAGAATTTATCACAGTTATTATAATTTATTTTAAGCTTTTTGCTTGTTTCTTACATTGCAGTATTGTGTTTCCTAGGGTATTTCCTCAAGCATTTTTCCTTGATAATTTGTCTAAAATTGCCCAGAAGGACATGGCACTTTTAACCAAGTAAAGGAAACATTTATTGATTCACCCATATTCTTTCAACCACTGTGCGTGCATGCATGTGCACGTGTGCACACACACACACAGAAGTCACAACACATACAGCACAAAATTGGCTTCAAGTATCTATAAGGCAAGATATATTAGATTTCTAATGGGTTTTTGACATTTACAAAAGGAAGGGAATTAACTTAAATATTTTTAAATGAGGCCAATTAACTGATTGATCAACCACAGTTCAAATATCTATCATTATAAGCTATAGAAAAATATTAGAGAGTAAGCAGAGGATGAATAATTAATCTTTGAGGTTTTAAGATAAAACTGACAGCGAAGTATCAATTTGTCTTTTTTAGTTCTTGCATGGATAAACCTCCAGAATTTGATATGACCCTAAAAGTAAACCCAGATAATTCAGAGATTTACTTTGGTAAAGCTGGTTTAGATAACGAATATATTATCTAATGCAGGGTAATTATTTTGGTTGACGGGCCATTTAATGAGTTCTGGTGAGCTGTTGAGGGCCACACATATAAAATATGTCAGAAGATATCATTTTAACAAATTATAGATAAAAAAACAAATCACATACTAAAAATCAAACATCTACTATAACATATTTTAATTGTATTTAAAAAAAATATTTTTGTCCTGATTTGTTTGGGTTTTTTTAGTAGTTTAGTTGTATATTGTGTTGGGGTGTATGTGTGGAGAGGAGTACGGGGGCTGGGTGGCGCTGCCTGTGTACTAAGTTTCAGGAGCCAGCTGGGGGTGGGAGAAGGGAAAAGGCACATGCAGCTGAGTTCGCCCAGGGAATGCAGTGCAGGTGCACCCCACCCCTGTATCCAATCTAGAGTGGGTGGAAGGCAGCTGGGAACTGAAGCTGGAGCCCCATGCGCTGGGGTAGGAGCCATCTGCCCCCAGCTTCCCCCAAAACTGGTGCAGTGCAGGAGGAGGAGGAGGAGCTGCTGGAGTGGGGGGGAGCTGAAGAGTACCCAGGCAGCTGCGGCAGCAGCAGGACCAGCCCTGTCAGGAAGCTGTGCATGCTGGCCAGGGCGAGTGCTGAGGCAGTGCTATTGGTGGGCATGGGGTGGATGCAGGTGGGATTACATTGTGGGCTTCCCTGGGCAGGTTTGTACTCTATGTGGCGTGCCACTGGCAGCCAGGTGCTGGATACACTCAATTGGCAAGCCAGATCCAACCCTCAGGCTGTATCTTGCCCACTCCTGATTTAAAGCAAATGGCAACATTTACAAATTTAAGACAATTCTGAATAGTAAAAATGATACCACCTACCTCACCATATGTTTCCTGCTTATATTCAGTCAGACCTTCTGACCTGCAGAGTATGAACTGCATTTTCCAGCAAAGCAACCGAGCTGAGAAGGTGAGACCTGGATTCTATTCCTTGTTCAATATCCACAGAACTAGTGCAGACCCTGGTGCCACTCGATTAGAAGTAAAGAGGTTTCACAGGTATCACCTTTCATAACTGATAGCTAAAGGTTGCAAAGTTGAGCGTGGACTGATCTCAGCCTAATTGGTTTGCAGACATTTGTGACTGGTAGGTTGCACAAAAGACAATATAATTCAATGAACAATGGGATTAAAATGATGCTGCTCAATGGAACCCAGTAAATAGTTGTATTGATGATATACTAAATGCAACTGAGCCTAGTACACTTAATCCAGTTACTCCCATTCCTTGGGGCAATCTGGAGTAAAAGAATAAAAAAAACTCTGATCTGTGCATTGAAAACACCCTCTCTTACGTAGGGTGACCATATGGCCCAGTTTGGCCACAACAGTCCCAGATTTCATAGGATGGTCCTGACCAGTTGGTGAAAATTGAAACAAAAGTCCCGGAATTGGCCATCTAACATGATCCTTTCTTTTCCTACTGACCCTACTACATGTGAGTGGGAGGCAGCAGAGCCGGCCTTAGGGAAAATGGTGCCCTGGGTGAACTTGTATTTTGTTGCCCCCTCCCCACTCACCAAGTCAGCGGTGCTGCTCCAGGCAGAGGTAAAGGCAGGCAGGAGGTACAGTGCACAGTCAAGTGGGGAGGTCCAGCTCCTCCTGTTGTGAGTGCACAGTAGCCACAAAGCTGGTCTCCCAGACATTGTATTGTTTGTAAACACCCTGAAACAACTGGAATTCTTTCTTAACTGCCTGCCCAATCACTTTTTAATTCCAAGTCGAATTTAGAACTATCCAATCACCATTTGGCACTGCTGTACTGGACTTTATACATCTGATCTAGTGTGATACTGAAAGCTAAGATGTCCTAGACTTACTTCTTAAATGTCATAGCTACAGCCAAGGCACTGTGGCTAAACACTTGGTGAATATTAGACCACAAAACATTAGTAAGTGGCAAGACTTTTCAGCCCCCTTATTTCTGCTAAGTTGATAAATGGGAATGAAAGGAAGGAAGAGCTCTCTATTCAACCCACTCCTTTAATTTATAAATAAACTCTTCAGCAAAATGTTACTACTAGGCTATCACAGGCCTAAACTCTGCTACATGCATCATTACTATAAAGGTTTACGAGAAACCATTGTTAATGCGTATATCAAATTACATGATTTTATAAAAGCACAAATTTACACTTCCATATGTGCTTGTATAACAGAATCCATGTTAGAAAAACATTGTTTTGCTTGAATCTGTCAGGAGTAAAACCCATAGTTGATCAATTATTCCTGCATCCTACAATCATACAACATTTATTAATCACATTAATAGATACATAAAGATATATCCCACCATTACATGACATGTTCCCATGGATAGGAACAAGACTACAGTTCACAACGTATTTAATTCAAAACTGGACTTGTTTAAAAGAAGGTGCAATCCAGGAGAATATCATAGGGTTGTTCTCCTCATGTGCCATTGCAAGAACCATTGCAAGGGGTCAACCTTATCTAAAATGAAAGATGGCTTAGTAATCCAGGGTCTTCTACAAGAATCCAGTGCCTAAACCCTCAGTTTCATTCTGAGGACTGACAATTCAGTGGCACAGTTGGTTGTAATTGCTGTTGCAGGATCAGAAAGGCAAGGTAGGCTCTGAGGTAGCTCAGGCCAAGCTTAGTCAAATCAGGAGCAGCACACAAAACAAAAAAGTGATCTAGAAAAAAGAGGGGAACGTGTGTATGAAAAACAATCCAAGTATGGAACAGAGTGGTTGCAGTTTCTATATGGCAATCAGTCCCAGATAGGAGACATGGCATTACCTACCTGGAAATGGCAAAAGCATGATCTGCTGTGGCTAGGTCCTCATTACAAGTGTTTTGTTTTCTGAAGAATTTTTTTCTTCTTAAGTTTTCAAGTAGTGGTGCTTTTGGTACCTTTGTGCCCAAGAGTAACAGCCTAAAGAAATCCTTACGTCTGACTTCTCTTGGGCAGATGGCATTTTAGAGTAGATGCTAGTTCCTCAAAGTGACGTTCTGCTTTCTAACTCACATTATCTCCTATATTTACCAAGTTTAGCTTAATCCATGTGTCTTTCAACCACACCACAGTTTCTTCCAAAGATCAGGGCAGCAACATCTGTGCAGTAACCTAGACCTGTATCTCTTTGGTACATGGGTTGTTTTGCAGTTTTCCCACAACTTCTTAGCAGCTCTGCATAGATGTTAAGATTAGTGGCACAAATGAGACTTGCAACATCAATGGATTTTTCAATACATTTCCATAAGATCACATATGGGTAATCGGCTATGCTGCATCTCTAATGATGAAACAAAACTCACAGCCTGGAAAGAACTAACGTGGCTTAAATTGCTTGAATGCCTCTCCAATTCACAGCTGTTCTGCAGCCACTAGTAACAGTAGCACCTAGGAGATGATCTCAGGGAAAGCCTATACTTAGAGTAGTTTCCGAAAAGATGGGGAACTGCAGCTACAGACTGGCAACAGCTGTTACAATGGAAAGCTTCTGTATACAGAAGTTTGTAGGGATACATATGTTACAAATGAAAAATCATTCTAACTTCAACCCTGCTTAATCCAGGGTTAAAACTGGGACACTTTTATTCACCTGAACAGCTACAGACATGTATGCAAGTTAACAGAGCATAACAGTTGCTCCATGCTCTCAAGCAGGACCTCTTCCATGTCTGAAGCCACTCCAAGCATGCATACATTTGTCCATGCCTTAATAACGGCAGGATGTCTCCAGCTGCTTATGAGTTGCTGCACCACGCAGAACATCCAGCGCTTCATGTAGTGGCCTTACCCCAACAAACATTAACTACCTGCAGCTCTGCCCCCATGTCTGTGAAGGGGTTCTTGAATGACCTCCTAATAACTTTGTTCTGGTTACTATAATCAAAGAAATCCTCCTGCAACAGGACACAGGGCTTTAAGGGCTCTTTTATGCCATGCAGGTGCTTTTATACAATATAAAGAAACCAAAGGAAACATAAGAGTTCCCTAAAATAAATATCTTGCAGAGGATAATACCTAATTTAACTCATACTGAAAAAATACATTAAAAGAAGGAAAAAAGATAAGCTAGAACATGATGAGTAGGAGCATTGCAAGGGCTCTAATAACCTCAAAGCATATTTCATGGGTTGTTCCTAAATGCCACAAACACAACTGTGATCTGAGGACATAAGTACTTACAAAGATTAGACAGACACTTACAATCAACATTGTGTCTATTTAAAAATATATAAAGTACTGGTATTATAAAAGCATTAAAAATACAGTATTAGACAACTTTTACAACAAACCTCATAAGAACACATTAAGCTATTACTTTCAGTTGTAAACTATATCCTGAATGCAGAACAAATACATACTTAACATTCACATCTGTTTTATATTCTAGACCAACGTTTGTGATGTAATATGACAGTTCTAAGAGGGACACATAAATGCTATAGTTTATATTTTACAAACTAAAAATAAAATATAAGTAAAACAATCAAGGTGTTGGCAGTATACATTTAATAGTGTGCCTGTATGCTCCAACAGCTCAAATGTTCAATAAAATAAATGCATTAAAATACAAATGTTCAGCAGGATATATCTAGCCATTCCAGACAGAGATTTGAGTTAGCAATGATTTTTGTAAAGCTGCCATCTGCTTCATTATGTTACTCAAAGGAAGTTATATTCTGAGTTAGCAGGACTGACAGAAGTACTCCTCATCAAATTCAGGTTCAAAATCATCTGATCAGAAGTGAAATCAGTTTAGCCACAATGTGTACATTGAGACTATTTCCTAGGAGACGGTAGCGCTGCTTCACTGTTATCTTTTCAGGAAAACCTACAGATAAAAACAATTGTACAATACAAAGACAAAATAAATTTCAGTGTGTTTTTTTTCTTTTCAGGTTTTTGGATTTGCACGAACAATTCCAGGTAAAGTTATGAACAACTGCAACAGGCAGCACAGGTCTCTAACTTTACAAATGACTATAAAATGTAGCTTATCCTGCAATCAAGTTCAATCTGTGTCTCCTTGACATAGCACGGGGTGTCCAAGGTCCATGATGCAAAAGGGGCCCTCTCTGGGGGGGAGAGGGGTGGGGAGGTGCTGTGGCAGAGTAAATACTGCACAGTTCCTGCTCTGCAGTCTTTTAGTGGGATGCCCCAAGAGGGCAATGGTATTGAAAGAAGGGTATGGTCACAGCAGCCAGAAAATGTGATGATTCAGCAGGCTGCTTAGGCCTTCTCTTGGTGGGGATCCTCAGGAACTCCAAAACTCACCATGTAAATCAGCTGTGACAAGTAACACATATGAGCTCTGCAGAAAGCACTAAGAAAACCTCCTCCATACTGGGCAAGCAAGGGCTGGGAGGAGGAAAGATGGAGGCCCAGGCTAATTTAACCTGGCCAGGATGGGGAGAAAGAACTGAGAAGAGGCTCCTGGGGGCATTACATTTCAGGCAACTTTTATACCTATAAAGGCCTGTGTGTGCATGTGAGTCAGGGAAGAGTAGAACTACGTCTATAAACTATATGCTGTACAAACTTCATTGGAAAACTCCCATCCCAAGTGAGCACAGGAGAAAATGTGGCCGGAGATTATTGGAACCACGGCTGAAAGCCAAGGAGGAGGTGGCTGGGAGTTGTTCCATATTTCTCTGCCAGTTTGTAAGGCTTATATATGGACTACTGTGGTAAGCACTTTCTCTGCCAGCTCCAGATGTTCTGCCCAGTTCACTGACACCAATATTTAGGCATCCACTTTCCTCCTCTGGGTCAGTTATTTGGCTGAATGTTTCTTAGATCCCCATACATATTCTCCTAGATGAAGTTTCCATTTGATCTACTGTATAAATTACATATAATGTGTTTAATAAGCGTGTTTGAATAGTAATGGTTGTGAGTTTCCTCTGCTTTCTCTAGACAGATACCAGCCCTAACTCTCTTACTTGCCTGGATAAATTATCTTGGATTTCTTACTTCAAGGAGAAAAGACTTGAGTCTAGCCTACATCTGCAGACTTGGTGGCCAGAGGTTTGAAGGGCCTTGGTGCCTAATTTCAAAGTCTTTGTTGCTCAGGGATGCTGCTATCTAAACACATACACTACCACAGAGCTCTGACTCTAATTGACCATTAATTGCTTTTCCACCAAGTGTTGTGTGCTTGATTCCCATTTACACAAAGTTTCCTTTGCATTACTCTTGCAAAGCTCTAGTGCAAAAGAGGATTAGCTCCAAATGTTTTGTCTTGTTATAAGTCATTCTCTGGTCTGCATCTCTGTCATTCCTGTATCAAGAACAGTCAAGTGGACAAAGCAAAAGCTTTCTACATGCTCTGAAGTCACTCTCCTGAAAGCAAGTGCAAGAATGGTGTGGTCTGTTTTAATATTTCTGTGTTAACCTAATGGCAGTAGACCCATTCCCTGGGACCTGCCAGTAGTAAATAACAACCTGTTCTAAGATTACTAAATTAACTTATTTCAAGAAGATAATCTCTGGCTTCATCTATCAAGTGCAGAAGTTCCCAAGCAATGGCTCTAGTTTGGGAATCTCAGCAAAATGTCTCCTGCATGAACCAGAGAAAATATGACTTGCAGAACTGTTGCAAAGACAGAAACCACACAGGAGTGTAATCTATCTTGGAAACTCAGTTCTTTAGTTAATTACCTTGGCTTGCAATAAAAGAAGTCTGTCACAGCAGACTTTTTTGCTGTGAGAAAGTAAATAATGCCAACATGGTGGCAGTTGGCAAGTACCTCATAACACTTAAAACACCCACCTTCCTGACTTGATTCATGGTGGGGGAAACTGGCCTCTTGG